GCTGTGCCCCACTGGGTTTGGGGGTCTATGGGGTGGGCACCCCAGTGCCCAGAGTCCTCAGCATCCTGGGGGTGCTTTGGGTGGGCACCCTGAGGAAACTGTGCCCCACTGGGTTTGGGGGGCTATGGGGTGGGCACCCCAGTGCCCAGACCCCCCAGCATCCTGGGGGTGCTTTGGGTGGGCACCCTGAGGAAACTGTGCCCCACTGGGTTTGGGGGGCTATGGGGTGGGCACCCCAGTGCCCAGAGTCCTCAGCATCCTGGGGGTGCTTTGGGTGGGCACCCTGAGGAAACTGTGCCCCACTGGGTTTGGGGGGCTATGGGGTGGGCACCCCAGTGCCCAGAGTCCTCAGCATCCTGGGGGTGCTTTGGGTGGGCACCCTGAGGAAACTGTGCCCCACTGGGTTTGGGGGGCTATGGGGTGGGCACCCCAGTGCCCAGAGTCCTCAGCATCCTGGGGGTGCTTTGGGTGGGCACCCTGAGGAAACTGTGCCCCACTGGGTTTGGGGGGCTATGGGGTGGGCACCCCAGTGCCCAGAGTCCTCAGCATCCTGGGGGTGCTTTGGGTGGGCACCCTGAGGAAACTGTGCCCCACTGGGTTTGGGGGGCTATGGGGTGGGCACCCCAGTGCCCAGAGTCCTCAGCATCCTGGGGGTGCTTTGGGTGGGCACCCTGAGGAAACTGTGCCCCACTGGGTTTGGGGGGCTATGGGGTGGGCACCCCAGTGCCCAGAGTCCTCAGCATCCTGGGGGTGCTTTGGGTGGGCACCCTGAGGAAACTGTGCCCCACTGGGTTTGGGGGGCTATGGGGTGGGCACCCCAGTGCCCAGAGTCCTCAGCATCCTGGGGGTGCTTTGGGTGGGCACCCTGAGGAAACTGTGCCCCACTGGGTTTGGGGGGCTATGGGGTGGGCACCCCAGTGCCCAGAGTCCTCAGCATCCTGGGGGTGCTTTGGGTGGGCACCCTGAGGAAACTGTGCCCCACTGGGTTTGGGGGGCTATGGGGTGGGCACCCCAGTGCCCAGAGTCCTCAGCATCCTGGGGGTGCTTTGGGTGGGCACCCTGAGGAAACTGTGCCCCACTGGGTTTGGGGGGCTATGGGGTGGGCACCCCAGTGCCCAGAGTCCTCAGCATCCTGGGGGTGCTTTGGGTGGGCACCCTGAGGAAACTGTGCCCCACTGGGTTTGGGGGGCTATGGGGTGGGCACCCCAGTGCCCAGAGTCCTCAGCATCCTGGGGGTGCTTTGGGTGGGCACCCTGAGGAAACTGTGCCCCACTGGGTTTGGGGGGCTATGGGGTGGGCACCCCAGTGCCCAGAGTCCTCAGCATCCTGGGGGTGCTTTGGGTGGGCACCCTGAGGAAACTGTGCCCCACTGGGTTTGGGGGGCTATGGGGTGGGCACCCCAGTGCCCAGAGTGCACCCCAACACTTGGGGTGGGGTGGTGGTGGGGGGTGCATGGGGCACGCAGCCTTGCGGGGAGGGCGAACCCCCCCCAGACGCCGGATTCTTTGTGCCCACAGACCGGACGGGGCTGATCTGCGTGGAGAAGATCGAGAAGTGCCAGGAGACGTACCTGCTGGCCTTCGAGCACTACATCAACTACCGCAAACACAACATTCCCCACTTCTGGCCCAAGCTGCTGATGAAGGTGACGGATCTGCGGATGATCGGCGCCTGCCACGCCAGCCGCTTCCGGCACATGACGCGGGG